TTCCAGGACTGCATATTCAGATTTGCCAGTCCTCATGGTTTTATCACACGTTATGATATCTCATGTCTCCGAAGAGCTCTAGCTACTGAAAAGTGAATCTCAATTTTTCCTTAAAACAGAACCCTCTAGCCTTTATGACTACAGAGAAACACATAAAATACAGCCACGTATCATCCTAACTTTCAGAATGACTCCAATTCTTTTTGTTTAGGAATCATAAGTGACCGAATGACAGGTTATCTATTACACATTTGCTATGATGGACGAACTGAGAGTGCGCTGGGTTCTACAACTACAGCAGAACAAGAACTCATACGCTTTTTCAAGACTGCATTTTTCGTCTATCCCCCTGTTCTGGCTCCAAGCACATGGTCTGTGTTACACCACTTGAGTGGCCACAAAACCTCTGACAGGTAGTAGCTTTTGTTCAAGCTTGTTGCTAACTATAAATAATACTACAACACAAAGAATTCTGTAAGTAAACCATGCAATACTTTGCCCTTCTCTGTACAGCATGCTACAAAAGAGTTGGCCAAATACTAAACAAAGAAGTAAACTGTATATTTAGCACCATCACATGACATTTTGGGTAGCAGAAAGCTGAAAACCACAATGCCTCTTCTCAGCACTTAGGTTTTATTACTCAAATCTTTAGTGAATGTGCTTTTAATGAATTAAAACATTGCCATTGACATAACAAAATAGGACCACCCTGGGAGGCCATTTCAAACCAGTGACCAGCACAGTTCTGCTCCTGTTCTGAATAGTGTGCAGCATCTACCAAATGGAGCTAGCAAACCTATTTTAATCAAGATTTGGGGCAAAATCACAATGCATCACATATGCCTCCAAATCAATAACGCTCTGACAAAGCTGCTGGTGATTTTGAGTCCACACTCTCCTTGCTCTCCTTAGGATGGCTTACAACCCGTTTACATTTAAAGTGTACTCAGACTGTATGATCTTTAAAGACAGATGACTTGCCCAACCAAGGACCTTTGCAATGCGTAAGATGCTTGGTAAAGACTTGCACTGCCATTATATGTCTTCAAGGTACTAGACGAGTTACTGATCAAATGACTTAAAATGCTGTTCTAGCTTAAGACTCAGTCCAATCTTTGGTATAATTCTGTTTTAGAACAACATAGTAAATCCACTATTTACCTGACTCCAGAAGAAAACTCCGGGCAAAAACATTTGTGGCTTTATGGTTTTGGAAGAAAAAAAAAAGTCCCAATATGAGAGCCTGATTCCATTCATATGGACATACCCTATGCTCTAGGAGGAGACAGGGCACAACTACCTACTTGACATGCATATAGCTTCTAGCATAATAGGAAGGTAAATTGACTGTCTCATCTTCAATAATCTCTCTTCCATGTCTTCTCTTCAGTGCTGAAGGTTAGAAAACTATTTGCCCTCTGTAAGCAAAAAAAATTTGAAAATGAAATGTTAAAATTACAACCATTTGTATGATGCTTCATTTACCAACCACAAAGCCTCTTCTAGGCAACAAAACCCTTTTGAGGTTTATCTAATTATTTTGAAATAGATTATTAGACTAAGATACCTTACTAATACCTCTAGGGAAAAGCTTCTGCTGAGATACTTTTTTTTTGGTTTGGTTTTTTTTTTTCCCCCCCAAAGGCTGGCCCCTTCCTTGCTGGCAGACTAATCAGTTTTTAAGAACATTTCTTTTACACGATCCTCTTTCTTAAAGCATTTTCCTTGCCATTTTACTAGAAATATGGTAGAATTTCACTTCCTTTCACAGAAAGGAGCAAGAAATCTTACCTGAGAAATCAAAAAAACTTAAAAAAAAAAAAAAAGAAAAAAAAAAGGCGGGGGGGGGGGAGGAAGAAGGTATAGTGTACAATTTATTACTATCATCATACAATGGACTTTCTTCACAGGGAAACATTGTTTCTTTCTATGACTGTTTTACAATTAATATTCTCTCAATGCAAACTGGTTAAGAAGTTCCATATGTTAAGAGTTCTAAGTCTATTTCATGCTGAAATTTCAATCTGGTGCTACTTAAGTTCGACGGGTTTTCACACAAACTTTTAACGATCGGAAAGAGGCTAATGTTATCTGAACTGTTTAAGTGAAGGGGAGCAAGCCGGATGCACAGTTAGTAGCTCATGAAAAACTTCCCCCCCCCCCCGAGAATATAAACTTTTCATTTTTGTTTTACAAACACTATTCAAGTGAAGTAGAAAAAGCTTTATTAACTGATTTTCTTAAAACAACCCTATCTCCATTCAGTTTCCTCTGCTGCTTGCCAAGCACATAGGATAATAGTAGTTGTGAATGCAACATTCCCACCTTTGAGAATGCCTAAGACATCTTTCAAGCACTTTTTCTCTTTTCAGGATAGCATACCTATACTTTACATCTAGCTTTTCAATCCTCCTTTTGTAGTAGGGTAGCAATGTGATCTCTAATGACACTGTCTGTGGTATAAATTTTGGTATTAGAATCAGTCTCAGCAACAGCACATCAAGCAGTGATGGTCTCAGGATTAAGAGATAAACGGCTTTTTCCATAGCAGTCTTTGTTGCTTTCTGTTGCTGAAAAATAAGCCATCAAAAGTAGGAAGCACTAAACGAAGATATATCTTGTAACTCAACAGTCTCCACTTCTGAGCTGGTGTACAGTGATGGCACACAAATGTGTAGTGCCAATCACCTAAAGGATTTGCATGCCATTCACAAAACCACAGAATGGCTGAGGTTGAAAGGGACCCCTTGAGATCATCTAGTCCAATTTGTGTGCTCAGAGCAGCGTCGGCTACAGCAGGTTCCCCAGGGCTGTGCTCAGCTGGGTTCTGAATATCTGTAAAGATGGGACCTCCACAGTCAGTTCCAGTGTTTGACTACCCTCACAGAAAAAAGTTGTTTCCTGGTATTCAGGTCGGATTTCCCGTTTTCCAGTGTGTGCTTATTGCCTCTTGTCCTTTCAGTGGGCAGTACTGGGGAAAGTCTAGCTCTCTCCACTCATTCCCTCCATCAGATATTCACACACACGGTTAAGATCCTCCCGAACCTTTTCTTCTCCAGGGTGAACAGCCCCAGCTCTCTCAGCCTCTCTTCCTGTGACAGATGCTCCAGTCCTTCAGTTGTAGCTGTGGCCCTGCACTGGACTTGCTCCAGTACATCCTTGTCTTCCTTACACTGGAGAGCCCAGAACTGGACCCAGCACTCCAGATGTGCCTCCGCTCACAGTGCTGAGTGGAGGGGAAGGACCACCTCCCTTGACCTGCTAGCAAAGTCTCTGCCTAATGCAGCCCAGGATTGCTGTTGGTCGTCTTCGCTGTAAGGGTGCATTGCTGGCTTATGGTCAGCTTGTTGTCCACCAGGGTCCTCAGCTCCCTTTCTGCAAAACTGCTTTCAAGTGATCAGCCCCCTACTTACATAGGATGCTTTTTCCTCTGGTTCTCAAACACCGTTTTCCTTATTTTTGTCTTTAAGATATTAACAATGCCTACTGCATAGCGAGAAAAATTTGTATCTATAGGACCTGGAATATTCCATAGTGAGAGGTACCAAGTAGCTAGCCCTGCTGCACAATGTCATCCAATTTAAAGAGCCCAAAAGTAAACTTGCATTTTTTTTTCACTAACAAAAAGCTTGAAAAGGAAAGCAAGTTTGAAATCAGTCAGTAAGAGTAGCTATCTGAACATACACTAGAATTCTTTGCTGCCGCAAGCAGACAGTAAAGAGAGGGGAGGTTTTTTATCTTTTTTAATGTGTAGCTGGGAATGTGAGACAGCAAAACATGTCCCAAAAGACCCCACCTCTAGAAGGTAATCTTATATTTTACATAAATGAAGTCATTTTTAAAGTTGATTTGCCAAGGTTTCCAGAACTGAAAAAGACAGTTCACTGTCAAATGTTTGTCTCTCAAAAGAAAAAAAAGGAATGAGACCACGTGGTTCACAAAATGCTCTTCTCTTTTTCCCTAAAATACAGACATTGTCTTGTTAATGAATGCTGAATCAACTCTTATTTATCATGAGACAATTGCATTTATAGCATAAAACAACAGCCCATTGTCAATTTCACCAAAACGATCGTTTAAGGACAAGACAACCACCATGTCAAATAGCTCAGAATTGCTTTATGTTAGTAACAAGTTTGTTGCCGTAATACGATTCTCAATACAATCTAGGCTGTGCCTAAAACCAATTTTAAGTCCTTCAGTAAACAACTCGTCTGAAAAATCTAGGTGTAAAATACAAGTTAGAACAAACCGGCAATAATTAACCATGCATACATAAATGGTCCCAAAGAGACCAGAACCTTTACTCGCCAGTGTAATCCAGCACAGCTGCATCTACTGAAGACAGAACAGTGTTAGTCAGGCCTTTTGTTCTGCTTCAACAAAACACAGAAACAAAAGCAGCAGAACTGCTATGCCGCCTTTTCTGTCTTTTCAATTACAGGGTGCCGCAATATTCCCTAGCACCACCAGATAGTTCTTGTGATGACACTTGATCTTTTGCCTGCAATTTGCAGTACTATCACCCAATCTGCATCACTTATCATTGGAGTTCTACATTGTTTGTGAATTTCTGAAGAGGACTCTCAAAACGTACTTCATTCATCACAAAAAAAAGCACTTAAACACTTAATGGTAACAATTTCCATCTAAATCAGAGACAGTGGCTGGAAGGTACTAAGAAAATGAAATCAAACTGTGTATACAGTATGATGTAATAAAGCTGAGTTACATATCTACTTAAGCACACTTCCAATTGCAAAAACTTGGATTAGGATGAAAATCTTTAAGTCTAATATTATTGTGCCTGAATACTAATCTGAAGTTCAGAACACATTGAAGCATACTTGATCAAAAAGACAAACAAGAACCCAGTTGCTTGAGAACAAATTCAAATTTCTTTCTATTCAATTAACAAACCAAAGAGCACAAGACAAGAAGTCACTGATGATTTCAAAGAAAGATAAATTTGAACTCATTACAGAAGAACGTTTATAAGTAGCTCTGCAGCAGAAAACCTGTATGCTGAACAGCAGAAAGAAGTAAGATGAGGCATGGGGGTAGGAGGGTGATCAGAACAGTAGCTGCTGATAAAGAAATGTGCTGACAATTCATAACAATGGGTTACTGCTTCAGTTCTCAGATTTCCTAGAGTAAATGGGCAGTTGCTTATTATTTTGACATCACAAGCAGCTGTTGCTATTTCTTTTTAAAAAAAAGGAAGAACAGCAAGTGTGTGGAATATTGTTTACTGTTAATCAAGACATCTTAACCAAAGTTTTCACAATACTTGAAGCTACATTTAATTATACAATAGTCTCAATCACAGAAAACAAGCAGAACAATAAAACTACATAAGGCCTTGAGATTAGAAGCACAGTGTGTATTGTTGGAATATTACTTTGTTTACAAATAGGCTACATATAATTAAGTTTATTTTTCATAGTTTTATTCAAGCAAAATGCATTCAAGGAAAAGGCAACTTACAAAGTTTATTTTACTATGAGTTAATAGAAAAATGTCAACATTCTCTTCTTGCCCCTCCCCCCACCCCATCCAGGCACGATTAGTAAAATTTCCATACAATACTCAAAAAACAATAAGCTTTTACACTAAATATTCAAAAGTAAGCCTGATCAGATAACTGCAAACTTGCAAATTGTTTATTACAAAGTTGGATAAACTTCCAGGTTTATTTTACTATGAGTTAATAGAAAAATGTCAACATTCTCTTCTTGCCCCTCCCCCCACCCCATCCAGGCACGATTAGTAAAATTTCCATACAATACTCAAAAAACAATAAGCTTTTACACTAAATATTCAAAAGTAAGCCTGATCAGATAACTGCAAACTTGCAAATTGTTTATTACAAAGTTGGATAAACTTCCAGGTTCCTTCTAATGAAATACTGCATCTCTATGCAATCAATGTTTAAAACTACATTGTCCACAAAGCCTTCTAGGTTCTAAAAGTCTTACTGGTTTCAATGAAGTACTTAGTGGCCTCGGTAGCAATCATGTGAATGATATTTACATTACAAGAATGGTAACTTGCAGCATTATTTTGGCAAGATTAGGACTGCTGAGAAGATGAATGGGTAAATTTGTTTAACCTGAAAGGTAAGGGACAACACAAGAACAAAACAACTAAAGTGAAACTAAGCACAAAAGATATGAAAAATATGGGAAAAGATATCTATTTTGACCCTCTCCCCCTATAACAGGGCATGGGTCATTTCCAGTGACTGTCTATTCTTATTACATACATTAGTATTTGCTCAAATTTCATGGCTATTACATTTTTACAGAACAGCTGCTTAGAAGTCTGGTTTTTAATTTACACCTGTGCAACAGAGTAAGTCACAGTACATTTTGAGATGTTTAAAAAATATTTATAAACTTGTTTTTCATATGCTAAAGCATTTGGCAACACTTTTACAGCATTTGATTTTATATAATTAAAATTTCATACAGTACTCCTTGTGATTTTTTTTTTTTTTTAACATCTAAGAAGAAAAAAACCTCACACAAAGTAATATGAACTGCCAAGCTTGACTGCATGATCATGTAATTCCAGTTTATAATACTGGCATTAAAACCTTCATTAATTACGTTGACAAATCATTACCTGTACATTTAATGAAGGCAACCAAGGTGATTTGAAAACACAACCTTCAGGTTTTATGTTATGTATTATCAAGACGTGCAGTTCTGCAGTGAAATGAAAAAGCATGTAAATATACAAAGAAAATTACAAGTTCACCAGTTCCTGTGACACAAACTGTTTTAATCTTTCAAGGTACTGTCCATAGAGTTCCACATCATTATGGCCCGCTCCTTCTACCCACAGTGGTTCTACAGGTCTCTGGCAACGCTCAAATAACGCTAGACCATGTGAAAAGTCAATTACTTCATCTTCAGTCCCATGGATTATTAACACAGGAGATGTTATTTTAGAAATTTTGTCAATGCTGTAAGAAAAAGATTGTATCTGTGAACACAGTGAGCTTTATTAAATCTTTTTGAAGGACCAGACTGTTAATTTCACTTTTTAATTACACATTGTAGTTTTAACCATTTAATTCTGAAGTTGTTTAAATCATTAGAAAATTACATCTGGAAGCCATTACAGTAGCACATGTAAAGCCACACAGAAAGGAAAAACACTACTGGAAACTATTAGGATCGAACAACAGAATGATCCATCTGGTTTCATTATCATGTTCACTTCAAAAAAAAAATCTAAGTCACTGGACTAATGAAAATATTAATTCAGAGTTTTTCAGTAAAAAAGTGCTTGTCAGAAGTGAAAGAATTTTAGCACTTAAAGTATGACCATCTATTAGGGAAAAACATCTTTGAAGTTAGATGCTCAAAATACAAGTAATTCTTTGAGACGAGTGTACCAGTTTGTAATGGCCAACTAGTGGCATAGTTCTGAAATACATGACAGGAATTTTCTTCAGTTAAGGTCTACTTAGTTTTCTAGTCTTTGCTACTTACAGAAACATATGGAAAAGACTTTGTTCACAGTTACCCCCATTAACAACTCACTGGACTAGAACTGCTTGTTAGAATTAGTGGTATTAGGGGTTTCATATAGGAAAACTAATCACTTCTTTAACAGATACCCACTGAAATGATTAGAGATGTGAAAACCTGGAAGATTTATAAAGTTCTGTAAACTCCTTCAAATCAAATGTTCCTTGTTGTTATTCGCTCTGATTTTTCTCCAACTGTTTTTTTAAACCTTTGAAAGAAATTTCAGAGAATTTGCCGTATTACTTGTTTCCCTAGTCTAAAACTCCTGTAACAGAGAAAAATGCATGCAGAATAAAAAATCCTACAACTTACTTTGGGAATGCGTCAAAGCAATAGGTCTTCTTCGTATCAGGAAAAGCTACTCGCATTCCTGAGGTCAGTGGAGAATGAAGAATTACAGCAGCACTTTCATACCTAGCAGCAAGATCCACAGATGGTACTGTTCCTATACTCTGGCCATATATAATCACATTTTCAGGGCGGATTCCATACCTAGAAAATTTAAAATGTTAACAGAAGTGGCATATAAAGTGAAACAGACAAAACCGCAACTACACAGCAAGGCAAAAAAAAACATTCCTGAAGACAAATATTTCCTGAAGAGGATAAACGATGAAACAGGAGCTGGTAGAAGAACAAGCAAGTATATTCCATAACATTCCTGACTTAAAGGGACAATTATTTACTCTGTATTTGCAGTAATTGGGGTTTTTTTGCCTTATGCCTGAATGATACTGAAATATGGGTTTATTTTTTTAAATACAGATTTGTGAATGCAGTTGTGACTTCTATACTAGTTGAAAGCCTTTACTGGTAACTCTAGTGGACCTACAACAGAAAACTGGTTAGAGCCTTACACTAGCTCTATGGTTATCATCAAGGGGAGCATAGTCAAATCTGCAAAAATTTAGTTGGCTTTACTCTTCTGATACCTGATAAAAACTGCAAGCCGGTAACATTGCTCAGCAATTTAGTGGGACCTAAAGCATGCCCATATAGACAGTGGTCAGAATATCATGCATCCTATGTAATAGCTGAGATGCTTCTTTCTTATCACAGTTGGTTTCACATGCAAGCTAGCAAGAGGAATACCCAACCTAAGCCACAATTAAGACAGCCTGATAAGCACTACAAAATTAAAGTCAAAGCCTCCTTCCTAGTAAGATGAAAACACTCATTTTTTCTGTAATTAACTAAGGCAAACAAAAGAAGAGTCATGAAACATCTATTTAACACTTCTACAAGTCAGGTCTAATAGATTTTTCTGCATTGGTGTGGGTACAAAGAGCAGCTGGTTCCCAAGTAACACTGGAAAAACCTCTAAGCAGAATGTTATGCTCGCAAGAACAGTGCCCACAGCAGAAGTGAGCTGCTGATACATTGACCTATGCTAATAAAGTACAGGTTCAGACTGCAAAAGTGTACCTACCTGGGTACCTTTGTTTAATTTATTTGGGAAAGAAAGTACCTTAAACAGCAAGAGATACTGCATTGCATTACAAAAAAAAACCCAAACAAAACCACAAACCAAACATTGTTCTCATGTATTATCAGAAGCTTATTCAGCTTTCTGAGTTAGAGCAGACTAGCCTAACACCACTGTGCAACAGCATGAGGTAAGTTTAATGTTTGCCAACTGACTATAATCCTAAAAGGACTGATAATCAACGGTTTTCAGCTGAAGTGAAGGAAAGTGAGGGAAAGGCTGTGGATGTGGTCTACCTGGACTTCAGTAAGGCCTTTGACACTGTCTCCCACAGCATTCTCCTAGAGAAGCTGGCGGCTCACGGCCTAGACAGGTGTACTCTGCACTGAGTAAAACACTGGCTGGACGGCCGGGCCCAGAGAGTTGTGGTGAATGGAGTTACATCCAGTTGGCGGCCGGTCACGAGCGGTGTTCCCCAGGGCTCAGTTTTGGGGCCGGTCTTGTTCAATATCTTTATCGATGATCTGGA